GGCGCCCTCAGGGCGACTTCGGCCCCAGTGAGGTCCGCAGACCTCCAGGGCCGACCTCGCGCGCGCGGACTAGATGTGCGACCTGATTCACCCTTATGGAGGATGACGGGAAGAGCGAGGTACGAGTGGTGGCCTTCTGGCGTGGCGAATAGCCTTCTCGGGAGGGGTTCAGGGGAGGGGCGAAGGAGAGGGATCCAGCGTAATTTGCCTTGCTTTCGGCCTTGCTGGCCCAAGTGAGGCCCCAGAGCGGCCCGGACAGCTTAAGATTCCCCGAAAACGACCCGAGGGAGGTCCAACAGGGCTCCGAGGCGGCCCGAGAGCGCTCCGAGAGAGCTCAAGACCGCCCCAGAGCGTTCCAAGATTGCCTCAGACGGCCCCTGGACGGTTAAAGAGAGCCCCGAGACGGCCGAAGAGTCCCTCAAGAGGTCCCCCTATAGAGAGGAGGGAGAGGAGGAGGAGGAGGAGGAGGAGGAGGAGGAGGAGGAGGAGGAGGAGGAGGAGGAGGAGGAGGAGGAGGAGGAGGAGGAGGAGAGGAGGAGGAGGAGGAGGAGGAGGAGGAGGAGGAGGAGGAGGAGGAGGCGGAGGCGGAGGCCCAAACCAGCTGTGGCCGCCCGACCCCTGCACACGAGAACCAGCGAGCATTGTAAGCCCCTGACCCCGGCCTCCGAGTCGGACGGGGGCACCCTCCAGCACTCGACGCGAAAAGTAGGACCAGCGTCTGCCAAGCCAGCACCCTCGGCTGCGCAGGTCCACGAGGAGGAGGAGGAGGAGGAGGAGGAGGAGGAGGAGGAGGAGGAGGAGGGAGGAGGAGGGAGAGGGAGGAGGAGGAGGAGGAGGAGAGGAGGAGGAGGAGGAGGAGAGGAGGAGGAGGAGGAGGAGGAGGAGGAGGGAGGAGGAGGAGGAGGCGGAGGCGGAGGCGGAGGCGGAGGCGGAGGCGAAAGCGGAGGCGGAGGAGGAGGAGGAGGAGGAGGAGGAGGAGGAGGACGCGGCGGAGGAGGAGGAGGAGGAGGAGGAGGAGGCCAGGAAACACAGGAAAAAACGGTGTTCACGGCTCTCCCCTCCTAAAGGGCGAGACGAGGCTCTCAATCTCAGCCAGCGTTGACTCCAAATAGATAGGAGGACAGGAGGAGGACGAGAGGAGGATGGGAGGAGGACGAAAGGAGGACGGGAGCAGGACGGGAGGAGCAAAATCAAGCAATCGCAAGCGAGCAAGCGGAAGCAAGCAAGCGCAAGCGAGCAATCAGAAGCAAGCAAGAGCCAGCGATCAAGTGCAAGCAAGCAAGGGCAAGCAAGAGCAAGCAAGCGAGAGCAAGCAAGCAAGAGCAAGAGCAGTCATAGGCATAGGCGTAGGCATAGGAGTTAGGGGGGGGCACAGGAATTAGGGGGGCAACGAACCAATTAGTAGGGCTTGAGGTAGAACTCCTATAGGGCAAGCCTGTTTGGAGAAAAGGGCCACAAGACGATCCAAGCCCCCAAGACGGCCCCAAAGGCCCGCATAACGCCCCAAGAGCCTCTCAAGAAGACCCCAAGACGGCCTGAGTTGGCAAAGCATGTTTCATTGCGCTCTGTGCTCTCGCCTTCTCGTGCCTCCCAAGAGGGCTCCCAGACGTCCTTCTCCTCCTCCTCCTCCTCCTCCTCCTCCTCCTCCTCCTCCTCCTCCTCCAAGACACTCATAGACAGCCCCAAGAGGGGCAAAAAGGGCCCCCAGAGGCCCCCAAGAGAGGCCCAAGGAGGGCCACAGAAGGCCCCCAGGAGGGCCCGAGACGGCCACGGGAAGCCCCCCGAAGACCCAGAATAGGGCCCCAAGAGTGCCGCCAGGAGGCGGCCGAGAGGGCTTTCAGAGGGCTCCAAGACGGGCCAAGCCCCCCAGGACGGCACGAGAGGGCCCCCCAGGAGGCGGCACGAGAGGGCCGCCCAGGAGGCGGTCAAGAGGGCCCCACAAGAGGGCCCCCCCAGGAGGCGGCCGAGAGGGCCCCCCCAGGACGGCACCAAGGAGGGCCCCCGGAGTGGCCCAGAAGGCTCCGAGACACCCAAGGAGGCCACCCACAGAGGACCCCGCGCTGGGCGGCCCAGCGACGGATGCAGCTCTGACGCCGAGGCTCCCAGGAGCACCGGGTGGCCGGAGCGCCAGTTTTGCACGAGTCGGTGGCGTAGAACAAGTTTTCAGCGCCAAGTGTCCCAGGAGCGAGCAGTGGCGCAGAAAGCTTTCAACGTCAGGCTCCCAAGAGCGAGCGGTGACGTAATAAGCTCTTGGCGCCAAGGCTCCCAAGAGCGAACGGCGAAGTAAACAGCGCTTAATTTAAGGGCTCCTAAGAGTGAGCGCCGACGTAAACAAACTCTTCACACCAAGCCTCCCAAGAGCGAGCGGTGACGTAATAAGCTCTTCAGACCGAGGCTCCCAAGAGCGATTGGTGACATGAAAAAGCTCTTCAAACCAAGGCTCCCAAGAGCGACCGGTGGCGTAGAAAAGCTCTCCCCCCAAAGCCTCCCAAGAGCGAACGGTGACGCAATAAGCTCTGAACGCCAAGGCTCCCAGGACCGAACGGTGACGTGAAAAAGCTCTTCAAACCAAGGCTCCCAAGAGCGACCAGAGACGTAAAGAGGCTCTCCACGCCAAGGCTCCCCAGAGGGAACGGTGCCATGAGCCCTCTCGGGCAAGTTCCCCAGGCGGTCTTTCCGTTCCCGTGGCGGCCCAGGCGACGAAAAGAGCGAGGTACTGTACGTCTGATGGCGTTCTGGGGGGGGGGCGAAGCCCCCGCGGCAGGGGTTCCCGGGGAGGCGCGAAGCGCGGAGGCGTTGGCGTGAGCACGCCCTCCTCTCTGCAGAGGCTCCCAGGACGGCTCAAGAGGCTCCCAGGACGGCTCAAGAGGCACCCAGGACGGCTCGAGATGCCCCCCAGGCGGCCCAAGAGAGGCCCAGGAGGGTCTCGAAAGGCGGCCCAGGAGCGCTCCGAGAGGGCCCCAGGCTGCCTAAGGGGGCCCCAAGATATGGGCTCCCAAGACGGCCCAAGAGGGCTCCGAGACTGTCCACGAGACCCCCAAGAGGGCCACAACGGCCAGGTCCTTGATGCCCGTACGCTGTGGGCGGTTTCCAGTGCTCTCGCCTCTTCAAGGTTCTGACAGCCCACGACGGCTCAAGAGGCTCCGAAGATCGCTCCAAGACGGTGCAACGGGCCCCCCGAAGGTACCCAAGTCGGCCCAAGAGAGCCCGAAGACGGCCCCAGAGGGCCCCAGGAGGCCCCCAAGAGAGCCCCTAAGGGGTCATGGGAGGCCCCCAAAGAAGTCGAGGAGGTCCCCAACAGGGCCCCAAGAGGCCCCCCCCCTCCAGAGCTGGCCCCAAGATGACCCCGGGACGGCCCAAGAGTCTCCCAGTAGGAGCCGCCAGACGGTCTGAGCTAATGTTTTTCATTATTTGTAGGGTTCTCGCCGTCTCAGACCCAGATCGGCCGAAGACGGCTCTGAGGGTCTCCGAGACTGTCCCGAGACGCCCAGGAGGCTCCCAAGAGGGCACCAAGGCGACCCCAGAGGGCCCCGAGACGGCTACCGAGAGCCCCATAAGAGGTGCCAAAGAGGGCCCCACGGAGGCTCCTCAGAGAGCCGACCGCGGGGGGGCCCCACGGAGGGCCCCAAGAGGGCACCAGGGCGGCCCAAGCACTCCAGGACGGCCCCGAGAGGCCCCCGCGACGGTCCAAGAGCTCCCCCAAGGAGGACCCCCCAGGCAGCCCAAGCCCCAATGTGGTTCGTTGTTTGCTGGGTTCCCGCCGCTCCGGGTCCGGATCGGCCGAACACTGCCCGGAGGGGCTCCGAGATCGCGGCCCACGGGGTCCCCAAGAGGCCCCCAAGACGGCCCAAGAGGGCCACGGAGAGCCTCAGGAGGGGCCACGAGGGCCTCCAGGGGCTCCCCAGAGACACCGCCACAGGAGGGCCCAAGAGGGCCTCAAGAGAGCCCCGAGGCGGTCCATGCCCTCCAAAACGTCCCAAGAGTCTCCCAAGAGGACCTCCCAGACGGCTTGATGAGGCAAAACGCATTGATTGTCCTAGTGTGTTTCGTTGTGTTCTGGGTTCTCGCCGCTTCGGGCCCAGATCAACCGAAGACGGCTCTGAGGGCCTCCGAGATTACGCTAAGACGGTCCTCGAGGCTCCCAAGAGGGCCCCAAGACGGCCCAAGCGGGCTCCATGACCGCCACAGAGAGCCCCAAGAGGGGCCAAAGAGGGCCCCAATAGGCCCCCAAGAGCGCTGCAGGAAGCCGCCAAGAGGGCCGAACATGACCTTAAGAGGGCCCAAAGACGGGGCAAGCCCCAAAAGATTGCCCAAGAGGGTCTCAGAACAGCCTGAGGGGGCCCGAAGACATCCAAAAGGGTCCCCAGAAGACCCCTCATCCCAGACAGCACAATGACGGACGCAGTTGTGAAACCAAGGTTCCCAAGAGCACCAGGTGACTGGAACGCCTTTTTTGCACACGTCGGTGACATAGAAAACTCTCAACGCCAAGTGTCCCAAGAGCGAGCAGCGGCGCAGAAAGCGCATAACGTCAATGCTCCCAAGAGGAAACGGTGAAGTAACCAGCGCTTACTTCCAAGTCATCTCAGAGTTTACGCCGACGTAAACAAACTCTTCACTCAAAGCCTCCCAATAGCGAGCGGTGGTGTAATAAGTTCTTCAGACCGAGGCTCCCAAGATCGATTGGTGGCATGAAAAAGCTCTTCAAACTAAGGCTCCCAAGAGCGACCGGTGGCGTAGAAAAGCTCTCCCCCCAAAGCCTCCCAAGAGCGAGCGGTAACGTAATCAGTTCTTACGCCAAGGTTCCTAGGACCGAACGGTGACGTGAAAAAGCTCTTCAAACCAAGGCTCCCAAGAGCGACCGGTGACGTAAAGAAGCTCTCCATGCCAAGGCTCCCAAGAGGGAACGGTGCCATGAGCCCTCTCGGGCAAGTTCCCCAGGCAGTCTTTCCGTTCCCGTTCCGGCCCAGGTAAAAGACGTTTGTGGCTTGTTGGGCCGGCGAATGATGAGTTCGGCTAATCCAGGGGGTCTGGGAGGACTTAGTGGCACGTTCAAGTCGTACACCTCCGCTGGCACACCGGATCGTTCCAAGAAGAGGAAGCAGAAGCAGAGGAAGAAGAAGCAGAAGAAGAAGGCCGCTGGACCGAACAGCGCGTGATTTTTCAGAATGAGCTGACGTTTGTGATCGTGGAGATGCTTCTGCTTAGGAGCCGCCGTGTCCAGCCACTGAGCGCAGCAGGGGTGGTCAGGGGTCCCAGGCCCCGCCCCGGGAGTGCGGGGAGACTCGAAGCTCGCTCCGTCCCACCACCTTGGGAGCTAGAAGTGCGTGTGCGCGCGTGCTGCCCCCACAGACAGCTCACCCGTGTAAGCTGCCATGGTGTCTGAGCCGTTGCTGATCATCACCGTCCGTTGCCACCCAGAGCCGCCTTCGTGGCCCAAGCGCAGTCCCAGTCCCAAGGTTTGTTGCCTATTCTGTTCTCTGGCGATCTACATCTTTCTCGCATAGCAATGACGGGGCCAGGAACGCATCCTATGATCTTTGCCATGTTTCAAATTATGTTCGCAGCGCGTGCTGAGCGTTTGATGAGCATGCTTGGCATTGGTGGACGCGCTGATGAGACGCTTCTGGAGGACAGCCATGGCAAGAACTCGATTTGGCCCTTGGCTGCTTTCGAGGATGACACCATGTGCCCCGTTTCATGTGCTGGAGTGCCGCTGGGGGAGCTCCAATCAGACCTTGACATCATTCCTTCCGCCCAAGGTTGTCAAGGAACCCCCAAGCAGCACCTTCCTGACTGCCCACGCGAAGGGGGAAGTATGGACACCCAGGCAGGCGGGCATGCTGACAGCTTTTACAAACTCACTAAAGGCCGCGTGGCCAAGTTATCTGAGGCGTTCGAGTCGAATCTCAAAGCAAAGCATATTTTCCGTGGGAAGGTGGAGCTGATGTCGTACATGGAAATGTGGTGCCTTACCAAGTTGCAGCGGCATCCACCAAGCCAAGACCTGGCCGAAGTCACGCAGCACAAACTTTCAGGATTTGTCGATGACAATGCATTTGCACCATCGTTTTTCGGCCTCTGTAAAGTTGGCACCGGCAAGCAGGCGAAGGTTTACCTTGTGATGGAGAATTTGATGCGCGACTTCATGAAGCCGTGCAACTTGGACCTCAAATTAGGATATCAGACTGCTGAGCCGGATGAAATGAAAACAATGGGCTGGATGAAGAGCATTGGCGTGAAGGCGATGGCGAGAGATGAGAGTTCAAAGACCCCTGGCGTGCGCGTTGCTGGCTGGAGCATCCCTGATGCCTTCTCGGGGGAAGTTGTGAAAATGGGGAAGATGGACACGAGGCCTGACGATTTCATCGAAAAGAGCGTGTCGCTGCCAGGGCACAAGTGGGACAAGGCGCTCCTCAGGTCTTTCCGGGAGAGGGTGCACGACATGCGCGCGATGTGGTTGTCGTCTGGCGAGGATACGCGCAGTGTAGGTTTGAGCGCGTTGCTTGTGCATGAGTGCGGTCCGGTCGGTCAGGGACTGGAGATCGCAGAGTTGCGCATCGACCCCGACGGGCCCGGTCTGAGTATGGATTTGCCGAACAGTTTGCGAAGCCCTGAAGTGTTTGCAAGCATATCGTTCGACCTACCAGGTGGCATTGTATCAAACGAACCGAAGAAGTACAAAGATCCCTATTTCGGCGCGTCGGGCGAGTACACGACCAGACGGATTGCTGCGAGCTCGAAGCCTGCATTTTCGACCGCATTCAGCTTGCGGCATCAAGTGAGCGTCGATGGGACGAAGGCCCCTGTAGGAAAAATGAAAGTAGAAATTGTGTGGGCCGGCACAAAGCAAGGGGAGACCAAGCAGCGGGTTGTCTATGGCCCTGCTGGCACTGCAGAGATTCCGATTCCTGCTGCTGGCGAGCACTGTGTTGACTTGACGGATTTCGTTGAAGCGCCCCGTCCGCGGGTTTGCTTTACTGTGCGCGCTGGGAGGATCACAGTGCCAGCTCCGCCAGTTCTCAAGCTCATTGACTACGCACACTTTTACCCGGTTGACTCGGAAAGAGGCAGCCAGTGGCGCGACAAGAGCGACGGCGTCGGTGCGGGCCTGGCGACCATGGAGAGAGAGCTTGTAAAGTATTTGTGAAGCGACTTCGCGGTCCCTGGTCAGCCAGTTCCGTCCAGCAGGAGTAGGATGAGTAGGAGCAGGACTAAGAAAAAAGGATATCTAGACATCCACGGGACAGCTGTCATACACCAGTGAGGGCGGCGAGACTTCTTCAGGGTGACTGAGCGGGGAGTGACTATTCACCTGCTGCGTGGACAGAAAACGGGTGGGTGTGAGGGAAGTCCAACCTCAAGGACGAGGAGCAAAGCAGGATGAGGAGGAGCAGGATGAGTAGGAGCAGGATGAGGAGGAGCAGGAGCAGCGGGAGGAGGGGGCGGATCAGATGGAGCCCAGGATACTTCAACGACGCTGCAGCAGACCCTTCCGCCTCCTCCTCCTCCTCCTTCTCCTCCTCCTCCTCCTCCTCCTCCTCCTCCTCCCCCTCCTCCTCCTCCAGCTCCCTCGAGCACCTACAACCATATGTTGCGCACTGCGGGTGAGCAGCGCCCCACTGACCAACGAGCGCGCCAGGGGCCTGCTATTCAGGCGGAAGCCGCTCTCTGAAGAAGGGAGGAGGAGGAGGAGGAGGAGGAGGAGGAGGAGGAGGAGGAGGAGGAGGAGGAGGAGGAGGAGGAGGAGGAGGAGAGGGAGGAGGAGGAGGAGGAGGAGGAGGAGGAGGAGGAGGAGGAGGAGGAGTGGACAGGTGCAGGAGCACAAATACTGCGCAAGTTCCAAGCGGTACCCGACCTCGAAGAGGAGCCATCCTCCACACGCGTAGCTATTCCGCCAGAGCTTGAGCTGTCGGCCCACATCGTTTTGAAAGGGTCGCTGAACATGAGCCGCCCTCTATCTGTGCGGCGGTTGCCAATGTTGAGATGCTGAGGCATGCATGTCGTTGCAATCGCTCGGGACGGTCTGTGTAGCCGCTGCGAACGTTAAGACGAATCTGCGCGTCGTGAAGGCGAGAGTCACACTCTGCAACCGGTCCGCCCTTCACCCCTCACAAGCACGTAAGCGAGTATCTGGCAAAACATCCGCCTGGCCGACACGCCTGGTGGTGCGATGGGGAGAAGTTGTCCCTAAGGAAGAGGGCTGGGGTTTGGAGATCGTTGGCGGAGGAGGCGGAGGCATAGGAAACATGGAGAAGGTGGAGAAGGAGGGGAAGGAGCAGGAGGATGGAGAGGGAGGAGGACGAGGAGGAGGAAGCGGAAGAGGAGGAAGAGGAGGAGGGGGAGGAGGACCACGATGCTGCACCGTCCTCCTGGCGGCCAGCTAGGCAGCCGCCGAGCAGGACGCCTCACGACGAGCTCAGCACAGAAGGCACGCACGCCGAGCTGCCCGCAGGGAGGGCTGCAGGCCACGCGGCGAGGCCTTAGCCCCGTGGCCGCGGCCAGAAAACCCACCTCCCGGGCGTCAACCGAAACGCCGCACAACGTCGAGAAGGTCCACGTCGAGCCATACACAGTGTTGATCTCTCATCCTTCGAACGTTCTTTGATGTTTTGGGGGGGTCAGGATCCTGTAATTTTTTGAATTGCTCTATCCTGGGCCTCTTCCTGACCACTAGGGGGCCAGGAACAATTAGAAACGAGCACGCTTAGAAACGAGCACGATTAGAAATGAACGACGTGTACCTGTTCGCTCTTCAAGGCGGCTTGCCAGCAGTGGTTCGGCTCCAGCGGTATCTAGACGATCTGAGTCACGGGGGCCTGCCACTGCACTTCTGGTTGGGGTAGCGCACATGCCCACCCGTCGAACAGACGCCTTGCGCCTCGGACGGATGCACAGGGCACTGCCGTGGGAGCAAGGCAGACCGATGCGCCTTTTGGCCGAGCTCTGCCGACTCGGTGTCGTAGGGCCCGTGAGCTTTGCTGCAGATGCTGCTGGGGGGGGCAGCAAGACCAAGGAGCCACCAAATCGTGCGTCCGCTGCCAGGGCGCGCCCCCTCCAGGACCCGGGGCGGGCGAGCCGTGGGCACGGGAGCGGGCGGCTTCCGACGGACCCGGGTGGCCGGAGAGAGGTGACGCGGCGGCCACAGCGGGAGCAGCCTGGCAGCGAGCACACACACACACACACACACACACACACACGCACGCACACGCACGCACGCACACACGCGCGCACGCACGCACGCGCGCACGCACGCGCGCACGCACGCGCGCGCGCGCACGCGCGCACGCGCGCGCACGCGCGCACGCGCGCACGCACACGCGCACGCGCGCACGCACGCGCGCACGCGCGCACGCACACATACACACACACACACCTTGCGGATGATGGAGAGGGCTCGATCGAGCCACTCTGACTGCTCAGGGCTCAGCTTCTCGTGAGCCAGCGCCCAACACCCCAAGCCTAGCATAATAATCAGCCACAGTCAACACTCATAGTAAGAACGCACGGGTGTTCTTTTGCGTATCCTTCCTTCTGCGGCCCGTCTTTCGCGGTTTTTTAATTGGCTTGGCCTTCGAGGTGTTGGCAGTCCGCCGCCCAAGAAGTGCCGATTTCGGCGTCCGAGGCCCTTGCGTCCTTACCGCCCGTCCTTGATATAGATTTTGACTGTAATTCATTTCCCGCCTTACAGAACTGAAGGTGGGGGTCCCCATCACTGCTCGATTGACATCTGACCTTCGACCTTGCGGGTCTGACCCATCGTGGAATCGGCCGTCCACACGAACATTCCAGCATGCACACGGCGGAACGACACCTGTTCATGGCGCGGCGAGGCCACAACCTCAGCCACGTTCTGGCAGTCATCGACACCGTCCGAACCATCGAGTGCACTCATGCAGCGGTGCAGGCAGCAAACTCACCAGCCTGGGCAGTCTGTGCGGTAGGGAGAGCGAGGGTAGCGTACACATGGCCCAACTCCTGCCCAGAGTCGGAGACATCCACATACGACGATCCCCTTCGCGATAGTTCACGTATGGCAGACCTGGTACATGACCCAACTATGAGCACCTTCTCTTGTTCGCAACAGTCGACATGTCCAGGATCATTAGAGCGGAACACAGTGGGCTCAGCCTTGGTGGGAGCAGGAACACATAACGAGGCTGAGAACATATGCCGTGCGTCTACAGCACCTGACCGTGCATGCTCGAGTCCTCCCAAGCCGAGGGGGAAACATGAAAATCATCGCCCAGAAGCTTCTTGCGCAAAACACCACAGGACTGCGACTTGCAGCACCAACGCCGGTGCAACAGGGTGTCCTAAGCTTGCTCGCACATCGGGCATCGTATGTTCCATAGCTGGTAACCGTGCGTTGATGCTCTCACCTTGGTTCAGGGAGCCTGAAAAACCAATCCAAGGATGTAGCCTTTTTTTCCCTAGGCGTGAACTTGGAACATGCCTTAGCTGACTAAGAGAGCGCAAAACAGCGGACCTGAGGAGACGCTTTAGCAGGGAGGGCGACACGAGCGTGAGAGAAACCTCGACCCCACGAGGAGGAGGAGGAGGACCAGGAGTAGGAGGAGAAGGAGGCGGAGGAGGAGGCGGAGGAGTGGGAAGGAAACGGAGGAGCACGTGGAGGAAGAGTAGCACCAGGATGGAAGAGGAGGAGGAGGAGGAGGCGGAGGAGGAGGAGGAGGAGGAAAGGAGGAAAGGAGGAAGAGGAGGTGGATTACTTAGGAGGGGCAGGAGGAGGACCAGAGTAATGCCCAAGATGACCGACGATGCCGCAACATATCCTTCCTTGCCAAGGCACTTCCTCATAGGTAACTACAGGTACTCCTCCGAATAAGTGGTTCCATGGAAGGGATGAGAAGGATCAGGAGGAAGAGAAGCGGAGTGGGATGATGATGATGATGATGATGCTGATGATGATGATGATGATGATGATGATGAGGAGGAGGAGGAGGAGGAGGATGTTGATGATGATGATGATGATGATGATGATGATGATGATGATGATGATGATGATGATGATGATGATGATGATGCTAATGCTGATGTTGTTGCTGCTGATGGTGATGGCGATGATGACGATGATGACGAGGAGGATGAGGAGGATGAGGAGGAGAGGGAGGAGGAGGAGGGGGAGGAGGAGGGGGAGGAGGAGGAGGAGGAGGAGGAGGAGGAGGAGGGAGGAGGAGGAGGGAGGAGAGGAGGAGGAGGAGGAGGAGGAGGAGGAGGAGCAGGAGGAGGAGGAGGATGAGGTGGAGGAGGAGGAGGAGGAGGAGGAGGAGGAGGAGGAGGAGGGGGATGAGGAGCATGAGCAGGAGCGGGAGCAGGAACCTCCCGTGGCCACCTTCGGAGCGGATGCACGAAAATTGAGGCAAAACATGGTGCACCAGCTTGCTGCATCTGCTCCAACAGGAGCTCCTGAAGGCCACCGGTAGCCTCCCCCTCCCCCCCTCCATGCTTCCCCTCCCTCCTCTCACTTCCCCCCCTCACTTGCCCCCCTGCCCTCTTCCGGCCCTCCCCCTCCCTCCCTTCACGCGTCGTCGTCGCCGCCGTCGTCGCCGACGTGGTCGTCCTGGTCGTCGTCATCGCTGCCGTCACCGCCGCTGCCGCCGCCGTCGCTGCCGCCGCCGCGGTCGCCGCCGTCGCTGCCTCTGCTGCCGCCGTCGCCGCCGCCGTGGCCGCGCCGCCCGCTCGGAGGTCGCGCCGCCCAGCGGCGCGGCGGCCGCGGCCGCGCGGGGCCCCGCGCCCGCGGAGGCCCCCGCCGGCGGCGGGCCGCCGCCGTGCGCGGGGGCGGCGCCCGCGCTGCACTGCCCCGCGGAGTGGCGGACGGGCGCGCCTCGCCCTGCGGCGGCGGCACGGCAGCGGCCACGGCGGCACGGCGGCGGCGACGGCCGCGGTGGCGGCCACGGCGGCGGCGGCGATGGCGGCGGCGCCGCGCCGCGGCGTTCACGGCGACGGCGGCAAGGGCAACCTCCTCCTGAACCTGCTGCTCCCCATCCCTCACCCTCATCCTTCTCAGGAGGAAAAGAAACACACAGACACAATTAATCGTCGATCCCCCAGAAAATATGGGAAAATATGGAAAGTGGGGGGAACGACAAAAACCCAGAAAATATGGGAAAATATGGGGATTTGTTTTATTTGTGTGTATTTATTTGTGTGTTCCAGTTCCCCTTCACCTTCCCTCATTCGTCGTCCGCGTCGTCGTCGAAGTCGTCGTCCTTCCTCTCGTCATCGCCCCACGCTTCGCCGTCCGACTCCCCCGTCCTCCTGCGGAGCAGCTGCTGGTGCTCGCAGGGTGAGACGGGGTGGGAAGCCAGCGT